AAAATTTTAAGTGTGATTTCCCAAGTAACTAATGAGAGGGATAAAACAGTGTATGACAACTGTTGGTGAGTTATTTTCTTATTTATATGCAGTACTACTGCAGTATTTCAATTCTAGTACACATAATGAGGAAGCACTGATGTAATTCTGCATGTACACTAAAATCCACAGTGTCTACATTTTATTTATACCAGGTGTATTATTAATTAAATTTCCAGTAGTGCCAACTACTGGAAAAAGAGAGAGAGACACAAAGAGTTCCTGACTCAAAGAACTTAAAAGACAAAAACAAACTGTTCTGAGGCAGTTCCCATCTCAGCACAGTCCTTCACAACCCTCACTACTGAGCAGGGCTTCATAGCCTAGGAGGCAAGCAGTGGTCATTCTTTCTTACCCCCTCCCCATTTTACAGATGGGATATGTTGTATTAATTTAGATGGAATGAACAGGTCCAAAGAGTCAAAGGTGTAAACAGGACCCTGGGACTATCACTGTCCAACATTAAAGAGTTGGAAACATGGAAATTGGAAACATGGAGTTGGAAATATGCTTTATGTACCCAATATACACATTATTTATAATTTTATTATGTACACCTCTATCTGATACACACTATAGATGTACCATTTCTGGTACTGCTATCTCAAAGGCAGAGAACAAAAAGAGAGGGACTTGGCTTGATCATTTGTTTAGGACAACTGACACCTACTTTTATTGAGTGGTTTTATAATTGTCCAATTATTTATGGGTTTACATTTAACACTATTGTCACAGCCAATCCCAGTCAGGGACAAGAGCGATCAGTGTGTTTTAAGATCTCACTATCCAGCACATATCCCACAACTGGATTACATGCCCTGCAACCTCCATTGTGCATAAGCCACCCCCAGCCCACTTCTTAGGCTGTATCACAGGTTCAACCTGAACTCTAACATGAGCTGTCTAGGTCACAAGTCCCCAACTAGTTTCCTGTTTTGGGGCATGGAGAGAGGAGTGTGCAATGCCTGCACCCACCCAGGAAGATGCCTGCCCTTACCTTTCCTAGGGGCCTGTGCAATCTTCCCTGTCCTACAGTCACAGCACATTTAAGTTGAGTAGATGGGTCCCATTTTGAATTCTCACCACTCCAGGAGTGTAGAGATATGTTTGTAGAAGATTATAATTTAGATATGCTTCCTCATAAGAGACAGTATTATGAACTGTTACAAAGCTCTGTCCTTGCCTCCGTGGGTCCCGCGTTTCCTGGCGGATCTCCCTAGCTCAGAGGCTCACTGTGACCCTCCATGTAACCCTTCTTTCACTAGAGACAAGAGTCAAAGTCTACTGAGCCATTTTCATCACAAGCCAGCGAAGGGAGGTGAAGAGAAGTTATCTTTCCTTGCATAGTCTCTGTTGTCTCCCAGTCTCAGTGATTAATCAGGGGACAAAGGTGGGGGGAGGGGAAGAGCCCAGGCCCACCCTCTACTCCAGGCTCCAGCCCAGGGATCCTAATAGTATCAGCTATGGTAGCTGACCTTTTAGAAACATGACATGTACAATCCCCTCAGCTACTTCCCCCACAGCAACCCTCACTTCCTCAAGCTCCACTTCACCCTTATCTCAGGACCTCCTTCCTTGTACCTAATATGGTGTGTACTACTCAGCCTCTCCAACAGCCTAATTTCCTTCCACAGCTCCTGGCATGCACACCCACCTGACTGGCTGGGAGGCTTTTAACTAGTTTCAGCCAGCCCCTGATAGGCTTCAGGTGTCCCAATCAACCTAGCCTTCTCCCTGCCTTCTGGAAAGTTCTTAATTGGCCCCAGGTGTCTTAATTGACCTGGAGCAGCTGCCATTTCACTTAACCTGGTACCAGGGATTTGTTTAGCCTGGAGCTAATATATCTATCTGCCACTACTTTTCTATCGCCATCTGGCCTTGCCCCGTCACAGAACATAGGAATTTGGAGATGTGTCCTGGAGGCAGGGATTGAGAACACCACATTGTGGTCAGCAGTTCACCAGAGACGCTCTCTAGTTTGTTTTATTAAAGTTCTATTCCTTTGTTATTTAATGAACCCCAAGATCATTACATGGTGTCAGAAGTGCTGAATGAGGAGGAAATGGCAGTGATTTTGAAGGTAACTCCTATATTTGCAACTGAAAGCAGAGATAAAGCGGGGCATGAGAGAATCATGTGGAGCACCAGGCACAGGAGCTTTTGCATGTATTTGGCGAGCACAATAGTAGCTTGACTAGCTTAAAAAGTTGGGGGGGGAAATAAAAATAAATGGTATTGGGGTTCAGAACAGGAGAAATCATGGTTTAAACATGGGAAGGTTTAAACTGATACAAGAACCAATGCTGAAGTTCTATGCATCAGGAAGACCTATTAAAATTTCAGCAGATGCTTCAGAGTCTGGGTTAGGTGCAGTGATTTTACAGAAATGTGAGGATTGTTGGCAACCAGTGGCATATACATCCAAATCGCTGACTGAGGCAGAAACCAGATTGAGAAGGAGCTTTTAGGAATATTGTTTACCTGGGAGAGATTCAATCAGTATATTATTTATGGCCGGAAGGTGGAAGTTGAAAAAGACCACAAGCCTCTGATAGTGCTAGTTAGCAAATGGCTAAATGACTACATCTTAAGGATGATGAAGGTGCAAAAGTATGATTTGGTTGTGACCAAAACGCCTTGTAAATTCATGATCACTGAAGATGCACTTTCCAGAGCAGTGGCTCCCACGACATCAGAGAAGACTTTAGAGACAGAGATGCAAGCCTATGTAGATTTGATTGTAAAGTTAATTCCCATAGTTACAGGAAACTGCAACAAATAAGAGAAGAAACAAAGAAAGATGAATCCTTGGGAATCCTTAAAGAAGTGATAATTAAAGGGTGGCCTGAAGAAATAAGGAGTTGCTGTCCAAGTATGAGAGACTATTGGAACTGCAGACATGAACTTACGGTGATAGATGGGGTGATTTTCAAGGGCAGTAAGGTTGTAATTCCAATGAGCCTCCGGAAAGAAATGCTACAGAAGATCCACGAGGGTCATTTAAGAATTGAGAAGTACAAACAACGAGCAAGAGAGGTGCTGTATTGGCCACAGATCAATCACAACACTGCTAATGTGGTAAGAAACTGATTTTCATGTTTGAAATACATGCCATGCCAATAGACAGAGCCACGGAGACATCATCCAGTTCCATAAAGGCCTTAGAAGGTCAACACTGACTTATTTACCTTGCAATCAAAGCATTATTTAATAGTCACAGCTTATTATTCTCTGAATCCAGAAATTTGCACGCTGCACGGTACTAATAGAAAGTCAGTGACAGCTGGCATGAAGGGAATCTTCTTCAGACATCGGAATTCCAGATGAAGTCTTTAGCAATAATGGGCTGCAATTTTCCAGTGCAGATTTTAGATAATTTTCCATAGTTTGGAATTTTCATTACAAAACTTCCAGTCCAAATTACCCCCAAATCAAATGGACCTGTGGAAAGGACTAAACAGACAGTAAAGAACCTTATGAAAAAGACTTTTGACAGTGGGGGTGATTTGTATAAAGTGTTACTGAAATACACCCCTGGAGAATGGCTTTTCTCCATCTCAGCTGTTAATGGGAAGAAGGATCAGACCTAATTACCATTTACTGATATTTACTGAAATCTCATAACAATGAAAGACTAAAGAAAATCAGAAGTGGAAGCAGAAATATTATTTTGACAAAAGGGCCCATGAACTCCTCTCTCTTAACCCAGGTGATAAGAGTGTGCCTGAGGAATCACACCTCCAATACTTTGGAACACAAGGTACCATTAAAGAACAGCTGCATCCAAGGTTTTATGTAGTCCAGACAGACCAGGGGGACATATTTAGATGTAATCAAAGGGATCTACAAATAATCCCAAAAAGGTTCTACACATTGACAGTAGATATGGATTCTAGCATTTCCCATCAATGCACAAAGGAGAAAGGGTCAAGGCACAAGAGAACTCAGACTCTAAGATAAGGCAGTTTCTGAGATCAGAGCTGGAGATTAAACATCTCGAAAGACTCATAGAGACTTGCTAACCTGCCTGGAGACAGGAGGTTTGAGGAAAGTGAGTGGTAAAGACTCAGAGTGATGTGCTGATAACCTCTCCTCTCTAGAGAGTTGACACATTAGGTTTATGGCAATGTACTACATGGGTTGAAAATTGAATGCATGTGCTATTAGCTGTTTATATATATATATATATATATATATATATATAAACAGCTATGTATAAAAAAGTCAATATTTTTCTTTAAGAGGGAAGACATAGAGATATGTTTGTAGAAGATTGTAATTAGACACTCCCTCATAAGGGGCAGTATTATGAACATAGGAATTTGGAGAGTGGGGGAGGCAGGCGTTGGGAACACTGGATGCCTGTGGGCAGCAGTTCACCAGAGATGCTCTCTGGTTATTTTGATTAAAGTTTTAGTCCCTTCTCATTCACTGATTTGTTATTTAATGAACCCCTAGATCATTACAAGGAGAAATCGGGGTCACAGCCAAAAGCTTCTGGTAGAGTGACCAGATGTCCTGATTTTATAGGGACAGTCCCGATACTTGAGGCTTTTTCTTACATAGGTACCTTTTATCCCCCCACCCCAATTTTTCACACTTGCTCTCTGGTCACCCTAGCTTCTGGTGGCCTCCCAATCTCCTGCTCACCACTGCTTTAAAGCCACCGTAGGCTAACTGGGCTCATTCTGAATAGGCCCCAGGGGCCCAGCACCCGCCTGCAAGGAGCCAGCCCAGGAAGCTCACGCGCTGATGAGGCTGAGCCGTCGGTGGCCACCAGAGACTGGACGAGTGCAGGGACGGCAGAGACAAGCTGCCCGAAAGCAAGGACTGAGGGGCGGGGGTACCCTAGGGCACTGGCAGCTGTAGCGAGGCTTTGCACAAGGCCCACGAGACCGGGGGCGAGCAGAGCGTCACGCTTCCCAGGCTGGGCTCCCTCCCCGCAGCGTTGCTCCACCCACCTCCACGTCTCTCTCCTCCCAACCGGCTTCATTTTTCCCACGCCCAGCGGCGCTTGCGTCCTTGCCCCTCCTGCGGCGGGCGGCTGCGTCAATGCAAATAAGCTCGGTAGGAGGGGTCTGGGAGGCGAGAGCGGTGACGATAGTTCTTTCCTGCCAGAGCCGGAGAAACAGTCCCTGGCAGAATCCACGGCAGTGGAAGAAACCATTTTTCAGCCTCTCCCACCCTCGCCGGGGGAAATCATCTCGCATTTTGTTCCCCTCCGGCAAAATAGTTTCTTTAAGGAGCTGTATTCAAGTGTACATCTGCGGACCACACAAATAAATATGTTCTTGGTTAAAGAAGCAGGCAGGTATACAGTGAATTACAATGTGGGGGGGGGAATCGCATTTATCTACCCCTTATTGAAGTGGTAACGCCCGCCCTTTTGGTTGGTGCCGTCGCCCGCCCGGGCCTGCCCGTTCTCGCGCTCTGGCAGTTGGAGCAGCGCGAGAGCAGCCGGCACGACGGTACCGAACCCTCAGTGGAGCCGGCGATTAATGATTAACGAAGCCTAGTAGCGTGCGCTCATGAATTAGTAATAAGGGGGCGGGACTCATGATTTATTAATGAGGTCCACCCGCCAGAAGGTGGGGATTGTGACGGGATCGTGACGAACGTTCCGGAGTTCTTAAGGGTGGTGCAGCCGGCTAGGAGCCGGTACTGGGAGTGGGGGAGAAGGATAAGGGGGGGGGGAAGAGCTGTACCCAGCCTCAGAAACAGGCCTATTTGATGGACATGTAAGAGAGGACGGTGACAGCCTCTCTTCACTCAGTGCCCAAGCTAGGGACCCCCCCCGTCCCCGCCCCGTCCAGGGGATTATAGAGAGTGGCGGGTGACCGTTCGGGGTGCTGCTGATTATTATATGAAGGATTGTTAGAGGCGAAGGATTAGACTATAGGGATTTAGTTTGAGGCTCTTTTAACCCGATGAGGAGGAGTATATAATGTGGGAAAGTTTACCCCACAGTGGCGATTATTGTGGTTGGGAAAGAGGGATTTTATGCTGGAGGTGGAGGATTTTTTTTTAATCACAGGAGGGGTTTTTTACCCCATAAAGTGGCTTGTCAGATGCAGGGTTGTTCCTTCCCTCTGCAAGGGTGGGTATTTACCCCTACCCGGGGTCGGTGTGGGTAAGGGGCTTTCTTGAACGCGGGGCTCGCAGATCTTTAAGCCACTGCCTACAACGACTGGCAGCAGCAGCCCCCATCTACGGCTTGGTGTAGGAGGCGCTGCCTACACGAGTCCTTCTCCTCCCTGGCAGCAGCAGCGCCTCACTCCGTCCTGCCCCTCCTCACCCACCCGAACCGGTTCCTCCCTCAGCAGCGTGTCCGGTGTGTCGCCACCGCCCTCTCTGTTGCTGTCGGCGGCGGCTGCTGCGTAGCATCAAAACATGCAGGATGAGCTGCTCCTGGGGGTGACACAGCAGCAGCCAGGGAGCGAGAGGCTGGGCAGCGGCCCCGCAGCAGGACACCCCCCTCTCAGCCACCCCTCCTCTGACTTTAAACCCAGTCTCAGCCCCCACCACCAGGATTTAAACAAGCAGCAGCCGCCACCGCCCGCTCCTCAGCTGAGCCAGAAGAGGAAAGAGTTCAAGCAGCAGCAGCTCAGCAGCCCAGCCCAGCTCGGCAGCAGCCACCCCCTGACTAACCACCACCACCCCGACTATCATCGCCACCCCCTTCAGCAGCAGCACTGCAGCCACCCCGCTGACAAGTACCAGGAGCACAGGCAGCCGCGCCAGCTCCTCAGCGCTCACCCCCCGGAGCAGCCGCAGACAGGGGACTATCCGCCCTACCAGCCGCTCAGCCCAGCCGAGCAGAAGGGCGGCGCAGAGAGGGGGGGCTTCGAGCGGCTCCCCCCTTCCTGCCCGGGGGCACAGGCAGCAGCGGACCCCAATGTGGGGGTGGTTGTCTCCTCCTGTGTGAATCCGCCTCCGTCTCCTCCTCACCTGCAGGCTACAGCCCAGTTGCCCCCCATGGAGTCCCCCCCGAACAGCCACTTGCTGGGCAGCCCCGGGACCCTCTTGCCCGGCGGGCTCGGCTCCGGCTTCAGCAGCCTGCAGAGCTCGGAGATCCCCAGCCCCCATCACCAGAGCGGGGGCGGCTCCTCCTCGGCGGCTTCCCCTCCTCCGCCGCCGCTGCCCGGCTTCGGCACCCCTTGGTCGGTGCAGACCTCGTCGCCGCCTCCGCCGCAAACGCAGCAGCCTCCGGTCTCCAGCAGCAGCGGCGGCGGCGGGAGCCAGATCAGCGCGATGCCTCCGCCGAGCCCGGACTCCGAGACCAGCTTCTACCCGGGGATCCCGTCTTCGATCAACCCCGCTTTCTTCCAGAGCTTCTCGCCGGTGTCGCCTCACAACCCCTGCGCCGGGCCCTTCAGCAGCCCCTTCTCGGCCGCCGCCCCGCCGCCGCCGATGAATTTACCTCAGCAGCAGCAGCAGAACCGGAGATCCCCTGTGAGCCCCCAGCTCCAGCACCAACACCAGGCGGCGGCGGCCGCGGCCGCCTTCCTGCAGCAGAGGAACTCCTACAACCACCACCAGGTGCGGGGCCCGGGAGCTTCGGGGCGGCCGGCAGCGGGGAGTCCCTCCGCATGGGGGAGAGCGCTGGGGAAGCCACTCGGACCCTGGGAGTGGGGCGGGGGGGACGGGGACCTTCCCCCCCCGCCCGCCCGAGCGGTGAAAGCAGCGGAGGTTTTATTTGAGCCCCCCCCCGGCTGAAGTTACCCGGCAGCAGGGACAGCACGGCTAGAGCCGGTTGGTGGAAGCAGGGCGGGGCTCCCACAGCCCAGGCTCGGTCTCGGTACTGCAGCGAGCGCCCTTTGGCGGAGCGGGGGGCCTCGGCCCCGTTTCTCTCCAGCTCTCTCCCGCTCCCTGCGCTGCAGAGCTCTCTCGGTGGGCGGAGGGGATCTGGACCCCGTTCCTCCGGCCGGGGTGCCGCAGAGCTCCCGTGGCCCGGGCGGGGGGGGGGGGCGGGAAGAGGTGTAAATTAATTCGGTTCGGGTTAGAGTTCTGTTGACTGCCCCCTTCTTCCCGACCCTCTGCCTCTTCGACTCTGTAGGTGTCAGGTGAGAAAAAAGCGGATTAAGTAATACGACAGGCCTATTGATTCTTAGTGTCAGTTATGTCCCCCAGACTTTGATCGATACTTACTGGGTTGTTATAGCTGCCGTCTACAGGCGTCCTTTCCTTAGCTGTCAACAATTTTTTGTTTAGTTTTGTTTGTAATTGCATCTGATACCACTAGTGAAAAGGTCACAATTTCAATGTGAAAAGGGACAGGTTTCCCTCCAGAAAACATGTTTGTTGACCTATTAGCCTCCCTGCTTTTTAAATATACTTTAAAATTGAGAACATATAAATTGACTTGCATAGGCAGGTTTGGTGTTAAGTGAGCTTTTTGATTCATCTGAGAACTGCCAAGATGAATAACTTTTATTTAGAGTTACTTGTGTATGTGGCGATATAGGCAAACAGCAGCTTCACTGCTGTATTTCAGATTGTCCCAATTCTCCTGCCTACAGCACCTACTAGTTTAATGGGTGGCATGGAATCCTCATCTCCTATTGGCTAAAAAGGTTGCTTTTCTTCCTGGTTCTGTATGTTGAGAATAAGATAACGTGTCATATTTTGTTCCATGGAGCTGTTCTGCTCTCTCCAGTTAACATATCATACATAGTGTGTGACATTTGCACCATGTTAAGGTTTTTTAGGCCCTTCATGGCTGAGTATACCATATAGGCCCCATAGTTTAATTTCTGCTTAATTCTAGTATTAAACTGTGTGGCATTTTACCAGGTAGGTATGATTGGGATTATATGAAGTAGTGTTTATTTTTTTGGTCATTGGCATTCAAAAATTGTATTATGAGAAAATGTATATTGTTTATATGTTCATCTGTGGTGAACATGTTTTTAACATGAATTTTATCACTTAGTTTGCTCTGTTTTTAAACAAATTCCAAAGCAATTAAGAGATAAGACAGCAGCTCTCTCTACCATTAAAATTTGTGAGGAAATCTTTTCACCTCTCACTTCCCTGGCCATAATCCAGTTATGACTTTGTCAGTTGTAGGTAGTAAACCTAAAACAGTGATGTGAAAGCATAGTTAGCAAGATTAAAGACCTGTTTTAACACTTGACATTATCTCCAAAGTTTGTTTCTCAATAGAGTGCCTGCCTCTCCCAAAATTCCAACACAAAGCATTCAAGTTTTACAACATAATTATCTATAATTATATAGAACAGGGGTATCTGTCTGAGTATCTGACCACAATGGCTTTAACATACTTTCAGGATTATTTTTAATTTTTATGTCTGTACAGGTCCATCAGTACTCATCATATTTAACCTTTTTTAGTATTTGTCATTAGAAGTACATTATCTTTGAGATAGAGGTGTTACATTTGGATTTCAGATTGGAATTGGATTTATAGACCCTCTATTTCATCAAAAAGTGTCTAAAAAAATCCTTTCCAAGAACAGTCAAGTTTTAAATACTTTTATTTTGCTAACTGGACAAACACAGCTCTTTATTATCACCACAGTTCAATGGGTCCACCTCTTTGTAGTATGACAACCATTTCAGTTCACACATTGGTTTTTAGAATAGATTATTATGTATTGAAGGCAGCAGTAGTGTTTTACCCATTTTCATCCTGAAAAGATCTTTACATTTTTTCTCTGGGGTTAGTCTGAATATGTAAATTTTATTTTGTATAATAGCAGTAAGTCCATTGGATATCAAAACAATCCCTTTCTGAAATAATCAAAAAGCCAGATTCCTCAGGCGGGGCAAAACACTTTTTTGGTTCGCTGACTTCTGCACAGCTATGCCAATTTACACCAGCTGAGGATCTGGTCTAGTTTGTTACACCAGAAGTTCAAGCTGTAGCCTTTAAAGGCTATTATAATACATTTATATTTTTAGATACACATCCAGGATAGTTACTTTGAACAAATAATTTTGGGTTATCCAGATAGTCTGTGGGATAATCAGTCTTTGTCTTTGTACTTGAAAACATTTTCCTCTTTATGTAATATTTTAGAATGACCTATGAATTTTTTTTATCCTGCAACTCACTACTTTCTCCTTTACTCACAAAAAAAACAAGTGACCTTCATGAAACCATCTAATGCTAGTCTACAGAGACATATCAAAGGGGCCTGCCTATGTGACAGATTAGTTATGTAATGAAAGTGTGGCAGCTTTTATTGTATTTAAATAACTGTAGGAATGTTCTACCAAGAAATGAATGAAAATCCTAATTTATCATTTTGGCAAATCAGTCATTTTGGTAAAGCAGTCTTGTTTTATGGTTACTTGTATTCAGTTTTCTCCTTTGCCATGGATGTCAGTTTATAGGCAAATGGGAACTCCCAGTTTTTGTACTCTTTACAAAAGCCATCTGAGCGTTTTTTGAGGTAACAAGCAAACTAGGAATGTTTCCCAAAAAAAAAACCTAATCAAATCTTTTTTTTTTTTTTTTTTTTTTTAGCCTCTTCTGAAGCAGTCGCCCTGGAGCAACCATCAGAGTAGTGGCTGGAGCACAGGAAATATGTCCTGGGGAGGAATGCATGGCAGAGACCATCGTAGAACTGGAAACATGGGAATTCCAGGAACTATGAACCAAATTTCTCCTTTGAAGAAGCCCTTTTCTGGTAATGTCATAGCTCCCCCTAAATTTACTCGCTCTACTCCATCGCTGACACCAAAATCATGGATTGAAGATAATGTTTTCCGAACTGACAACAACAGTAATACTCTCTTACCCTTACAGGTAAGAATGGTATGTAACTGGAAACATCTTAATATTTGTCTTTAATTTTGTCTAGCATTGCAAATAGATCTGTTTAACATATTAAGTGATACTGACAACGTTCATGGTGATTTTTGTGAAAAAGTTGTACCTTCTATTGTTACAAGTGTATTGAAAGTGACAACCAAAATATTTTCCAGTTTATATAAAATGCCAGCAGTAGCCAGAATTATTGCTTACTGACTACATGAGGAAAAAAGGAGGAAACTGAAACAACTCTTGCACAGCAACAAGGGAGCAGAAATGCTTTTTAAACTATCAGAGAGCATTTTTAACATTTGTCAATTTAAAACACTCAAGGCTCCTTTTTAAATC